TTTTGGTAGGGATCAAGACAAAGAGACCATACTCAATTTACTCTTACATGATGATGATAACACTGCTGTCATCCCCATTGTTGGCATGGGTGGCCTTGGAAAAACAACTTTAGCCCAGTTTGTGTTCAACCATGACAGTATAATGCAAAAATTTGATGTTCAAGCATGGGTTTGTGTTTCTGACGATTTCGATGTTTTGAAGGTTACAAAGTTCATCGCCGAGGAAGTGGGAAGTGCTTGTGACACAAATAATTTGAATATCCTTCATCGAGATTTGAAGGAAAAGCTGACCGGAAAGAGGTTCTTGATTGTTTTGGATGATGTTTGGACCGAGGATGACGACTCTTGGAATTCTCTTTTAAAGCCTCTTCAATATGGAACTATAGGAAGTAAAATTCTTGTAACTACCCGTAGTGAAAAAGTTGCTTCTATGGTTCAAACTTTTCAACCTTACTCTCTTCACCAATTGTCTGATGAAGATTGTTGGTCAGTGTTTGCAAACAATGCTTGCCTTTCACCAGATGAGAATATGGATCTCCAAAAAATTGGCAAAGAGATCGTTAGGAAATGTAAGGGATTGCCTTTAGCAGCACAGTCACTTGGGCGCTTGTTGCGAGAAAAAAGGGACATGAGGGATTGGAATAGTATACTGAATAATAATATTTGGGAGAATAAGAGTAAGATCATTCCAGCATTGAGAATTAGTTATCATTATCTCCCTCCGTATTTAAAACGTTGCTTTGTATATTGTTCATTGTTTCCCAAGGATTATCAATTTGATAAAGATGAATTAATTTTGTTGTGGATGGCTGAGGATCTTTTACATCCTTCAGGAAATAACCAGACTTTAGAAGAAGTTGGTTATGGGTATTTTAATGACTTAGCCTCCAAATCATTTTTTCAACATTCTGATAATGGGAACTTCAACCAACATTTTGTAATGCATGATCTTGTGCATGATTTGGCAACATGGCTCGGTGGAGAATTCTATTTTAGAACAGAAGTAATTGGGAAAGATGTGAAGATTGGTACCAAGACTCGTCATTTGTCATTTTCCAAATTCAGTGATCCAATCTCAGCAAACTTTGATATTTTCGGCAGAATAAAATGTCTAAGAACAATCTCGCCAATCTATTCATGGAATGATCCCTTCAACAAAGAAAAAGCGTCATGCTTCATTTTGTCAAATTTGAAGTACTTAAGAGTTTTGAAATTTGGCAACTTTGAAGGTTTTGATGCATTTCTTGATTCAATAGATGAACTAATCCATTTGCGTTATTTGGATCTCTCTTTCACGTCTATAAAGATGTTACCTGAGTCATTATGTAACCTGTATAACCTACAAACTTTAAAGTTACACGGTTGTAACAATCTAACAAGGCTTCCCAATGACATGCAAAATCTTGTAAATTTGCGCCATCTCAAAATTTCGGGAACTAAATTAAAAGAGATGCCTAGAGAAATGAGCAAATTGATTAATTTGCAACATTTGGGTTGCTTTGTCGTGGGAATGCAGGAAGAGAAAGGGATCAAGGAATTGGGAACACTTTCGAATCTTCACGGATCACTTGCCATTAGAAAATTAGAGAACGTGACCAACAGCTTTGAAGCATCACAGGCAAAGATAATGGATAAAAAGTACCTTGATAAAATATCGTTTGAATGGTCTGAAGATACAAAGAACCATTTTACAAGTTCACAAAGTGAGATGGATATACTTGGAAAGTTACAACCTACCAAGAACCTGAAAAGGCTAGATATTCATGGATACAGGGGCACACTATTTCCTGAATGGGTTGGACATCCTTCCTACCAAAATTTGACTAAGGTATCTCTGTCTGGTTGTTTGAATTGTTGTATCCTTCCATCACTTGGACAATTATGCTCTCTCAAGGTCTTGACAATCAGTGAAATGGATATGCTGGAGACTATTGGATCTGAATATGACAATACCTTTCCAGGGACATACTTTCCTTCCCTTGAACGTCTGGAGTTTGTTGAGATGTCATGTTGGAAAGCGTGGCATCATCCTCACGAGTCAAATGCTTATTTTCCAGTATTGAAGTCTATTGTGATTAATGATTGTCCCCAATTACATGGGGATTTGCCATCTTATCTTCCTGTTTTGGAAACAATTCATATTGAAAGATGCAACCAGCTTGTTTCTTCTCTCCCAAGGGCTCCTTCCATCTGCAATTTATACATATTTAAAAGCAATAAAGTAGCCTTGAATGAGCTACCCCTTTCACTTGAGGAGCTATATGTTGGAGGAAGAGAGGTGACAGAATCTGCCTTTGAAGCCATTGCCATCACCCCGCCAATTTCTCTTAAAAAATTAGTCATCAAGGACTGTTCTTCTGCAATATCGTTTCCAAGAGATTGTTTACCCTTATCCTTAGAGAGTTTGTCCATCACAAATTCTAGTAATCTAGATTTCCCAAAGCAAAATCACGGCCATGAGTCACTTAAGTATCTTCATATAGATAGGAGTTGTAATTCTCTCATAATCCTCCCACTGGATACTCTTCCCAACCTCCATCATCTGCAAATCGAAAACTGTGAAAACATAGAATGTCTTTCCATTTCAAAGGTTCTTCGAAATCTCGTTGATATTACAATTGGTGACTGCCCCAAATTTGTATCACTGCCTCGTCACATAAATACTCTTCTGCCAAAGTTAGAACATGTGTGTATATATCATTGTCCAAAATTGGAGAAGTTTTCTGAAGGGGGTATGCCGCCTAACTTGAGAACAATTTATATTGGAAATTGCGAAAAATTACTGATGAGCTCATCTCTAACTTCAATGGACATGCTTACCCATCTTTACATTGGTGGTCCAAGTGATGGTATCGAGTACTTTCTGAAGAAAGGTTATGCATTGCTGCCTCCCTCCCTTACCTACCTGCAGATATATAACTGTTCAAGTTTGCACACGTTGGATTGCACGGGGCTTTTCCACCTCACTTCCCTGCAAACATTAATAATTAGATTGTGTCCCAAGCTGGAGAATATAGTGGGAGAAAGGCTGCCTGCTTCTCTAATAGAACTTAATATCTCCGCATGTCCTTTGCTGAAAGAAAAGTACCGTGTGAAATACCCGCAAATTTCCCACATCCATGGCATTGTAGTTGACGAAAAATGGATTTAGTAAGCTTGAAGTTCGTTTGCAGTTTGTTATACATGGTCATATGGATGCTTCCATCAATTAAACTGCAGAGTCGAAGCTTTTATTTCACATTTTCAGGTTATAATTATTCAAGCATGAATGTTTTGTGTATTAGTATGACCATGAAGTTGTCTAGTCTTTAAAATATCATTTTCTTTTGTCTTACAAATGCAGACATTGAAGCGACTTACTCCCATGTTGATTATGCATGGAATATCAATCAATGATGGCTTTGGTTTGTACAATCAAGTAAGTTCTTTAACTTCACTTCTAATGTACATATAGTATATATGTGTCACACTTCATTTTGAGGATGATGCTTTAAATAAACTTATTATGTACTTATTATGCTTTAAATAAAACATTTTTGGAAAAGTAGCTGGCATCAAAATTTCAAACTTCGACTAAAAGGACTCTAATTATTTATTCTTTTTAAAATGGTGTACATCTTCAATCGCATGATCCATTACAGAAAGGTTCTGCTGCCGTGACTTTAACTGAATTTGAGGCTTCTAGAAGTTGCTGCTGCTATTGTTACTCCGCATTTCGTTGACTTTGATTGGAGTTAACAATGAAATAGAATAGAGTGATGCTGTGCTGATTTGATGAAAGAGCAGATTAATGGTGTAACAAAGAAATGGAAATCCATTTCTTACTGCCATCTAACTGCCTAAGCCCTCCTGCAAATATTGATTGGAAAATCTTCAAATTAAGTTTCGGCCTAGAATCTAATGGATGAAGATCCTGAATAATATTACTGAAAACTTAGGCATCAAAAGGCTAGAACATACTGCATACATCTGTACTGCTGAAGATGATCTATTGCTAATTCCTTACTGTGTCATGGACTCATGGTATGTGTTTCCCTAAAGGCTTGTCGTCCGGATAAACTATCTGTGGCAATCACCGGAAACTGGGCCCAAGAAACAACCCGGCCGCATTTTGCCATTGATCCTCCTTGTCTAAATTGTCCCTTCAACCTTAGCTGTGTAAAACTGATTAAACAGTAAAAGTGTTTTGTAAGGTATTGCCAGGTTTTTGTTATTTACTGAATGAGTTATAATGTCGGTGTAGGGGATCTTAGTAGCAAAGTTTCTCAAACTAATTAGGCATCATCTATAACAACTTACGATTTTGAGTAATGGTTCTTGGTTTTGTTTATGCTAAATCTATTTCCATAAACGTTATGATGTGTCCTTTTGATTCTTTAGTCCCTTATTTAGCATTGACTTTTACTTGGTTTCTTTAATTGAATTTCCTATCAAATAATCAATGGCATATGACATCAATATGAAATGCGATTTTTGGTGGAAACATCATATTTATACTTTCCGGTTTTATTTAAGGAAAATGATGTGAAAATTTCATTTGCGCTTTCCCACTTTCAAAGATGATGAGCACTCCCTCCAGTCACTTTTATAAGCAAAAATTCATTTTTCAAGTTTATTGAATAATCAATGTATTTGGTCTATATATATAAACCTGATACATCAGTTATTCAATGAACCTAAAAAGTGAATTTTTATTTATAATAGTGATTGGAGGGAGTATACTAGTATTGGTTTAACTACAGATTATTAAATTACCCGACTAATTCTATGTCATAAGCTGTTAACAGCCTATTGTATTTTAAGGGAATGCATGTTTATGCAGGTTGACTATAGCCCAGATCCAGGATTATCTGGAAAGCTAGAGACATCTACTAATGTGATGCAAGGTTTGTTGGCAATGTTATTTCGTTAATTAAAATCTACTTGTTTTCTTGATCACCTTAGAGTGATTGCTTAATTTAGGTAGGCTGCTATCCTGAGATTGTTTGGCCCATCCTGTTATGTATCAACAGAAAACAGAAGGGATCTTGCTAATGTGTGCCCTTTTTTGGGTGGATAGAAATAATGGCATCATGGAGCTGTGCAAAAAGTTTCCGTTTATGATAAATAGGTCCATAATTTTCTTTTGTATATTCTGCCATGTTGGGGCTTATTTCCTTGAGCTCAAGTGGGCACATCAGGACCACATTTCACATGTGAGGCCTGGGTCATCATTTGTTTCAGTTGATACTTTATTATATGACTTTCTGTTATTCAGGTACATTAAGATTGGCTTATACCAATTACCTTTTAACAATTTAGAATACAAAACTTATTTCTTGGTAGAAAAGCAACCCTCCACGCTCAAGCAACTTCTTTCTTTCGTCAGTGATCTAGCTGTACAAATCAATAATGCCAATTGTACAAAACTAAATAAGGTGACAATGTAATGCAGGTGGAAACTAGTTGGAAAATTAAGAGTCTAAAAGTCAATGGCCCATCAAGTAAAATTAAATGTTAATATGATGATCATGTACTCCACTTAGTTATTTGTTTTATAAACAAAATCTTGATCAATTAGTCCTACTCCTCAATTAGAACTCCTAGGAAGGAAGAAACCGAAGATGAAGTTTCATAAGGAGTATCTGGATTTGATTTTGGTCCCTTGTGGGTTGCTAATCATGTTTGCTTATCACCTCATTTTGCTTCACAGATATATCAATCGACCTCACACCACAGTCATGGGATTTGAAAACAATGACAAAAGAGCATGGGTTGACAGAATTATGCAGGTAAGTAATAATCCTAATCATTCCTATAATTAATTTGAAAGTTGAAACCTCTTGTTTTCATTATTTTAAGGTTGTCTTTAAACTTTGCAATGAATGATCAGGCTGAAAAAAGAGATGTTAGCACAGCTCTATCTGTCATTCAATGCAACACATCAGCTGCAACATTCTTGGCCTCAGTTTCTTTGACTCTTTCTTCTCTAATTGGGGCTTGGATTGCCAATAACTCCAATATTTTCTTCCAGAGTCAATTGATCTATGGTGACACAAGTGCAACCACAATTTCCATCAAGTACATTTGCTTACTGACATGCTTTCTCCTTGCTTTCTCATGTTTTATTCAATCAGCAAGACACTTTGTTCATGCAAACTATTTGGTAAGCATACCGGATAGTTTTGTTCCAATTAGTAGTGTCGAATTAGCAGTCATAAGGGGTGGTGATTTTTGGTCACTCGGTCTTCGAGCTCTCTATTTCGCACTAAACTTGCTTCTTTGGTTCTTCGGTCCAATACCTATGTTCATTTGCTCATTGGTTATGGTTATGGTTCTTCATTATCTTGACTCCAACTCAAGGCCGTTGCATTTGCATCCTACTAGGTCTCAGGGTGGCAAGTTTCCGATGGCAAAGAACAATGGAACCAACAATGTTTGATAATGAAGCGCAAATTTGGTGATATTGATGTATGAAAAATAATGTATCTTATTCTTCTCAATGATTATATGATTACATCAGAATTTTCTCAACAAAGCAATAAAAATGAAAAATCAGAGTAGAGGGGGTTGAATAATATGGAATATATTTCTTAGAAGCAAAGATTTGTTCAACACCACACATGTGGGTAATTACTTGCGGCACAAGTTAATGTGTGTAGCCATCTTGCTTGCACTTAAACTCCTAAATAACACAACGTATGAGTTTTCTAACATATTCCATAATTGATAGTGGAGCTAACTTATAAGCAATCTAAATAAGTGATTTGAAATTATGTGTCTTTAATTTTAAATTTTTTTTAACACTTCTGATAAGAGTTCTTCAGACAGAGATATCCTTTAAAAAAATATACGGTGAGAATAAAATAGCAAAGCAAAAAATACGTTTATATAAATACATATTATAAATAAACATAGGCCAGAATACCTTTTATTTTATTTATAAAAAAAGTTAAAATTTGAGTTTTTGCGATACATAATTTTAAAATTTGTTAAGTGTAAAATGAAAAATCATATGATTTATGGTGGTATGAATTCTAGCTAAGGAGATTGAATTCTCACCGTAAAAATAACCCTCAAAACTGAATTCTAAATTAGGGAGATTGAATTCATATTGTAAATTACAAAAAAAAAAAAAACTCTATTATCTTAGATGTTTTGGATGCTGTTGTGTCTAATGGTTTGTTTTTAGGAGGCTCTTTAGATCTTTCACTACTTGTAGAGACATGTAGGAGGGAAAGATAGCATAAATTCAAGCCCGGCCCTATGCAGAAGCAACAGTCTCTACAGCATAGGACCCTAAATTTGAGGGCTCTAAATTTTTGAAAAGTTTTTTATTTTATTTTTTATATTAATATTAATAAACATAAAAAAATATTATAAAAATCCAAAAAATAAAAAAAATATTATGATAAAAATTCAATATATTAAATAAATTTGATTTATTAAATTCAAAATAATTATAATTAAATTTTTTATTAATATATAATCATATATATTATGTTTCATTTTTAATTATTATAATTGTATTTTTTTTATAAAAAAACTAGGTCCATTTTTTAAATTAGAACGGGGCCTTCGATTTGATTGGGCCGGCCCTGCATAAATTTTTAACTACTCTTTTAAATATTGTGTTATAATATTTGAATTGTCTGACGATTTATTTATTTTTTACAGTATCATAATACGTTAAAAGGTATCAGCCGTTGTAGTAAGGTTGCAAAATTGATGCAATCTGATGAGCTATGGTTTCAGAAACTCATACAATTATATGGATTGAATTGTATGATTCATACAAGATTGAATATGGTTATATTATTCATAGATTATTATAGATTATTGTCTACTTTTGTGGAGAGATGACATATAAAGACATTGTCATATCACGGTCGGTGAGATGTCAATCACATTTATAAAGTAATTAGAAATCTTATGAGAACGAATGGTTGAATTGTAACCCTTTTAAAAATTCCGTCTTAGCTTGAAACAAAACACAAACTCTAGAAATTCTTGAAGAATAAAGATTAATATAAGATAAGAAATAATAAGTTAGTCTAAAGTGTGTGAGAATGTGAATCACAATAGAGTAAGTTAAAAGGGAAAGGTTAGAGAGAAGGAACGGCCAAGAGTTATATTGATTTACCAAAAGTAGTTACTTTAGCCCTCATGATTTGTGAGTATTTTTTTTACTGACGTTTGAAATAACTTTTCTTCAAAGTATTATCACGGTCGGCCCAAGCCCAAGGAGAGTGAGGGCATCACCTTAGGTCTCATTATTCTGAGCCTTTAAAATAGGCTTTAGTTTGCTAAAAAAAAGCCTCAAAATTTATATGATTAACTAATGTCTCAAAAGAAAAATACCAAAATATAGTGGCTGAGTGGTGATAATTATCTTCAATTTTTATCTCATGCCATTTTTTAAATGATTTTTCTCATATACACACACAAAATGCACACTAATTACACATTACATTGGTGAGTCTGATTATGAAATTCACACGAGGCCTAATTCAATTATGCTGTTTGAGGAGGTCTGTTGACTGAGTTTGTCCTCAACTATGTCGGGCAGTAACCTCACTCTTCGGAAAAACGCGATTTCACCATACGGGGATAAATCCAAGAATCGAGAGGAGGCTCATCACCAGTCGGGAGGACCCCACGAGCATCCTCCACTCTTCTCGTCGACTAAGACAAGCCCTCTCGGAGGACCTCACAGCTGGCGGGGAGGGCCCACCCTCGAATATCACGCAGTCCTCTACCACATCCATATCCTTCTGACTATTTGGGGGAGTCCATCCAGGTTTGGGACCACGTGTTGGCCCCTCTACGCACGTAGGACTTAGCACGTAGGATTTGACAGTCTCGATTTTGGGCCTGCTTGTCCAGCCCAACGATGGAGATCTTGGCCCAAGACTAGAGACTATAAATATCCTCTCACTTGAGAGAGTCAGGTATTCATTCTTTCATACTCACTCTTATACTTGCTCGCACTGCTCTGAACCTTACTTTGACATCAAAGCGTCTTGCAGGTACTCCCATCTCATCTCCAACCGCTGTTCAACTCACAGTTCGTAGGCTTTCACGATCCATTCTGATCAGGTACAATTATATATATATATATATATATATATATATATATATATATATATATATATATATATATATATATATATATATATATATATATATATATATATATATATATATATATATATATATATATATATATATTAAAAAGTTAATTTAATTTTAATTAATTTTTTTAAAATATTAAATTAATTTTGCGTTAGACCTTAAAATGTGTTAGGCCCGCCTTAGTACTATAGGCCTGTTTCTTTCAGCTTTAAAAAAAATAGATTTTTTCTTTGTATTTTTTAAAATAGATTTTACAAAATTATTTTTCAAAATATTTGAAGTTTTTTTATATTCGTTTTTTCTAAATTGAAATATTAATTTTGACATCCTAACATAAACATATATTATTGAAGATCAAAATATAGTCAAAGTCATAATGTTTTGAAAAAATTATATTTTTAAAAAAAAAAATTTATGAAAATCTATTTGAAATAGCTTCAAAATTAAATGAACTTTTTGAAAGTTTGATATTCAAAAAAGTTTCAATAAAAAAAATAAAATATTTAAAATAATATTTTAAAAATAACTATTCAAATTAAATTTTCATTTAAAACTTTTACAAAAATATTTCTTTATAACTTTTTTTACACAAAATTATATTACACTCAATCATTTTTAAAAAAATCCAAAACAAACGGACTTATATCTAGGTGATGTATTCTTTTGGCCTCACCTAACTTACACGATGAAGGTTTTAGCTTTCAATGAGTTTATGCAAAAGAAATTTTTTTATTTAAATTATACTTTTCAAAGGGACAATAATAATATTTTAATATATTTAATAATGTAAGTGATGCTGAGATAACAAATTTTGACAATAAAATTATTTTGAAAAGAAAATTAGTAAAAAAAATTATAGGTAAAACAAATTTGATTTGACTTTTTTAAATAATAAAACATGATGAAAATGCATATTATATTAACTTTTGAGTGAACGTAAAGTTTATATCAAATAACTAAATGTATACTTAATTGGATTTAAAATTTATAATGATACCCTATTTTTATTGACATAGATACTTTTAAGTTTAAAATAATATGAAGTTGCTTCAAAAAATTTACTAATAAAAACTAATAAAAAAGAAAAATAAAAAATAGTTAAATTTACTAATAGAGATTAATAAAAAGAAAAATAAAAGAATAACCTAGTAATAATATGTAAAAAGATAGTTAATAGAAGTGGTGGCAATGGCATATAGGAAGATAAAAATAATGTATATATTATACAATTATAAAACACATAATTGAAAAAAATCTTAGAGACACTATAAAATTATATGTAATAATATAGATATAGATAGATAGATTTCACATGTTATAGAACAATCTCTCATTATACACACAACTATACTAATTCAAGTCTCAATTTTTATAAACATCGAAAGGATTTTAATACTTGCACTTTTAGAATGATTTGATTTTTTGCACATGCACATTTAAAAGATGTGTTTGTTAGTGATGTAACCTTTAGAGAGTTTCTTTGCCAAAAAATTGAAACCAATGGGGTCAAAACAAGTGTTCATACACCCTCCAATTCTATTCGACACTTGAGTTATTACTGTTCACAATCTCATAAATGTTAAGCCACATATATATATGGTCCCAAACCTACTCTAAACCGAAAGTCATTCACATAATTTCAATCATACACACAATTCTGTTTACAGTTACACGATGCTAGAGACAGCAATAAAATGTTCTGTTACTTGACTATTTTCAACCATAAATACTATGCTCCCATTTTCATCCATAACACCATGTGAATGTGAATGTGAATGTGATTCTATCATAATATTATAACTTCATGTGGATAAATATAGGCATAAGTTTACCATAATTGTTTTACACAATACAATACAATGCATCTCTTTGGATCATAAAGAGTACACAAAATAAGTTTAATACACATACATACATAGCACTTTAACTAAGTCATTACCACTTTAAAATACATATTACACAAATAGAATAACAATTCTTTTCTGTTTCATGAAATCCAAAATTATTATTAAGTTATACAACAAAATACATAACCAGCACACATTCTTATGCCATCAGATGATTCCTTAGTTCAATACTGCAATACACCTGCCAACAAAATTATGATTTGTATCTATAATCAGAGTGGAGTAATAACAAAATACCGAATGGTGTAGGGAAGATTAGAGATAGCTTACTTTGGTAGGGTTGCTCGGTTACGCTCAACCGCCTTCGTAGTCCTTGTTGAATTGAGAAGTGATGTTTGAGGCAACAGCAGATTCTTTACTTGCAACGTATGTGTCGTCGGTTAATGAAAATCCGAAGAGTCTGCAGCCACTTTTATATGTCGAATTCTTTTCTTGATTGCCTCTTAGTGCTGAGGCCGAATCACGAGACCTTGAAATATCGAACTGATTGTTATTAAGGAAGTTCTGCATACCGAGAGAATTTGTGCTTTCCTGAATAGGCTTGTCGAGTAGGGAAGATGCGAACATTCCACTTTTCATTTCAGATATGTATGAACCCTGATTGCGATTACCGTTATCATAACGAGAGTTTGAAACTGGATTAACAGCCTGCTGGAACATTAAAACAGATGATGGAGATGAAACCTGTCCAGCTGTAACAGACGCGTGCAAATGTGATGAACTGTCATGCATCTGTGCTGGCCATCCGTTTCTGGAACCGCGTAGTTGATAACCATCATAGCGTCCAAGGAAACCATTTCCACGGGACTCGTCAAACGAGGATCGACCGTAGGGTGGTGGACACGGAAGAATTTCTTGACCTTGCAAGACCTTTTGGAATCTGAAAGATTCACCAAAGCCTATGCCATTACAGGGAAAATCAGAAGTTGCCTGAGGCATTCTGATGTTTCCTGGTGCGGCAATCCCGGAACAGTTAGAACCGGGATAACATCTCCCTAGCTCGAATAACCGGGGACTCTGAGCATTAATACTGTCATAGGGAGTATTAATGCCCATAATTTCTTGACCTTGCAAGACCTTTCGGAACCTCAATGATTCCCCAAAGTCTGACACACCAATCCCATCTGTCAAAGTAAAAAAGTTGTGTCATTGTTGCATAACGATGAAGTAAGACGAATGAAAAATAAGGATTCAAGTAACTTACTGGGAACTGGAAAATCTAGCTTGGATGAAGTGAACCCAATCCTGCTCCTCTTCAAACTTGCTGCCATCAGGTTACTGGTAGAGGAAGCAGAACCAGATGGCTCAATTTCCCAAGGGGAAACCCTATTATGCCTTGATGCTTCTATGTCATCCCACCTCACCTGTAAACATAGAGTTCACCAATTATAGTATACTACAGAAATGACATCACGTGACAAATAATTACAGTACATTAGATTACTGACAAAACAGTAAATACATCATCCAAACACAATTTTATGAAGATAAACAATTACACATAAGTTAGAAAAACCGCAGTCTCATACCAATAGGCATTTCCATTTTGATCCTGGCCATCTATGAGGATCCACATCACTTATTCCAGCAATTAATCCAGTGATCCTGCACGTCACAAGTAAGACCAAGATCAGTTATTGATAGGTCAATTTGTATGTAACAAAAACACGTTGGACAATCAACAAACCTTCGTTCTGCAGCATCTTCAGTTTCAAAACGCATCCTGAACCTCATTCCAGCAGAGTAAGAACAATCAAGGCTCTTTATGAACTTGTTAACAGGTATGATGAAATCTGAAGAACTGACCCTACATAGAAAAAGTGAAATGTATAAGACACAATACATCTATATACAAACCATGATGAGCAACAAAGGAATGGCAATGAAAAGAGAGGGAGGAGGGGCTTAACCAGAAGTATTACAATAACAATAATACCTTGGATTGTAGCAAACACTGAAGGCAGATCTTTTGGATAAAGCATTCACAACGTCCATGAGAGGGCCAGGATCCAATTGCATGCCAGTAGCTGCAAAGGAACCGGAACTTTTCAACTGAACAGCCCTACGGATCCCTAATCTCAGTTCTCCATCATCACCCCTGAAACATCAATAATAAAATGGTAAGTCGTTGTTAGGAATACTAGTTCATAATATTTTATAGAATTCAGTTCACGATACCTAAGAAACAACACGGCATCCCCAGACACAAGCTTCTTCTTGTTCACAAATGCACTCCATCCAGTTGTCAGCAAATGCCTCCTTGGCTGCCCTGCTCACACGAACACCATAAATCAAACCTTCGAGCAATCAGCTGGCAGTGTACTACATTGTAAAGTGCTATAAGCAACATACCCCTGTAAATGTGCCGAAACTTCCATTCCAGGCCATGCAGATCCTTAGCTACAAGCTCTTGTGATGGTCTCTGCTGGCTGTAATCCTAAAATAATATAGTAGCGAATTCAATTCAAATTCTACCAAAGAGTATCTAGTTATACTTCAAGAAATTTAAAACCATGACAGAAAGCACAAATTTAAAATAGGTAATAACGTAAGCATGTTAGAAAACATTTATAAGATTAAAGACAATACTCAAGTGTAACATAATAGGAAAGGATGAATCAAACAAAACTTTGAATAAAAAACTTTAGCATGATTATTTTGACTGAAAAAGTGAATGCATCGTAAATGAAAATTACCAGGGGAGGAAAGCAATCTTCAGCTGCTCGACGAGGCACCGAGAATCCTCCATGAGTGCTAGTGTCAGAAGCTGTGAGAGTCTTGCAGAACATATGTGGAGTTGTTGACTTCACAATAGCTTCCGTATCCTCCTCTTCTGCATCAGCATTGATTACCCCTTCGCGCACATTTTGCTCCACTTGCTATAATTATCAAATTCAATCAAAATCCAACTTAAAATCATTTTAAAAAGAAACTTCCACAATTATAGGACAAGAGACTATTTTGAGACACTTAAACTTTTCTCCTGCAAATAACATACATCTAGACATGGACAGAAAAAGAAATACTGCATATTCATGTCATATTCTTGATGCTACACACTGCTACATTAAGCAAAATCCACTACAATTAGCCTGTTCACTAAATAGTTGACATGACCACAAAATCAAAACCTATAAATTGTGACATTTTTCCCCTTTTTCACAATTTCATCCAAACCTATAAACAGAACCAAAATAAGATGATATAATAGATAACCCTCACCTGATTTTCAGGAACCAACAATACTTGGCAATACACTTCATCACTCCCTTCCTCTGCCTGTCAACAAAAATCCAAAACGCAATGTTCCCTTAACACATGCCTCATCCAAAAGAACAATAAACAAGAAAAAGCAGCAAATGGGTATGGAGTATCTTCTCCACCAATCAAAAGCACATTACAATTTATTCAAACAAAAAAAGGGTCATCACCCTATTCATAAAATTTTCAACTTTGAAAGAAATTAAGAAACCCCTTATCACATAATCAATTTTCCTAGTCAAAAACCCCAAAATCATAAAACCGAGCAAAAGAAAAAACACTTACATGGAGCTTAACATCAAGAACACGACAGAAAACATGAGGTGGAATACTACAAGCAGAAACAGGAAAATCATGAGCTTGTTCAAAGTGACCCTGTGGAACATACACAACAATGCTTCCTTTCTTGGGCAGAGAGATCAAAGGACCAGCACAAGCATGCCATAGCTCCAAACAAACAGAAGGTTGAGCCGGAGGAGGAGGAGAAGGAGGAAGAATCATAGCTGAAGCAGAAGTGCTTATACCAGAGTGAGTAGAAGAAGAGGAAGAAGAAATAGCAGAATAAGGAGTTTCAGTTTCATCATCTTCTGTAGTGTTGAGATCGATTAACCCCATAACACCAAAACAAAACAAAACACAAAAAGTGCTTTTTTTGCAATGTTAATAAGTGATTTTTTCAATGAATGATTTCATGACTGCTTATTTTCAGAGAGTGTGATGTGTTTATGAGTAACTTTGGCATTGCTAAAAGAAGTTGTGAGTTGTGACCCTCTTTCTCTCTCTAACACACACACTCTCTCTCTCTTCCACTGAGCTATCACTCTCTCAGCTGAATTCCCTTTTGTTTCTTTTTTGGGTTTCTTTATTTCTTTCACTTTAGATAAATGGGTATTTCGGGATAATAAAAAACCAAACTTTTCATTGTGATTCATATAAAAATTGGATTTTTATCCATTTTTTTCTCTTTATTTACTATACTATTTACTATTACAATTTACAATTTAGGGGGCCCTTTTGATGAGGTGAAGCAGGAGCAGAGATGAAACAGTGGTGCAGTTGCTGCTACAATGCTGAGACTGTTGGGTGTGATGTGTGTGGCAGAGAGAGAAAGAAGAGGGAGAGAGAAAAAGAACAAGCTACAAGAACAAAAGACTGTAGTAGTGGTAGTGAAAGTAAATTGTTGGTTGAAAAAGAAAATGAAAAAATAAAAAATAAGATAACGTTATTACAAAAGGGTTTATTTTGAGAAGAGTACGGTTTATCCCTGTATTTCCGGGGGCGATGTCTATTCTGTCCCCTTCTACTTGATCAAATCTCACACCTATCCTTCTCTAACTTCAAACATTGCTTTAGCTCATATCTTATGTTCTCAACATTTTCTTTCTTCACCATGATGCAATGCAATTCATTATCTAGAGATCATGTGATGTCATTCTTCATCAATCTACTTAAGTCTTATTTCTATGTTACCGTGATTCTTCTTCATTTAAAATTGTTATTCTCATCTGCTTAAATCACATAATCGAATAAATCTAGTAGAATGTTTAAGTATTCATTTGGATCAGATGATTATGCTTAGTTGATTAAATGTTTTCCACCCCTAAGTTTAGGTGAATTGCATTCTAGTAATGTATTATGCTGAAATTTTATGAGCAACGGTAGGGAGATTCTAAATTGTCGCGTTAATTTGTTACATTTTTTCTAAAAATTTAAGGTGAATAAAACAAAACAAACCCTATATCATAAGATACTACAACTCGGCGTTCTACTATTGGGTCAACTAAAGTTGGCTTAGTATATTGTTTTTTTTTATTATAAGAAATTTAATAGTAAAAATTAATATGACCTATTAATAGTATTTCTTATTACGGTTGATTTATACTCCTTTAAGAATACATCTGAGAATATATTATATAAGAGAATATTCATATATAATTTTAAATTTTATAGGTGTGGTTTATATTTTTTCTCCAATAAAAATACGATAAATATATTAAAATATTTTTTAGAGAGTAAAAATAAAAAGAAGTTGTATATGTGTATGAGAAAATTATATACTTGTCATATTTTCATTGGAAAAAAGTATAAATCATACTTAAGAAAATACACCTAAGTTTTTTCTATTATATATTCGGACAGATATATCAGTTTTAGTTAGACAAACTGTTTTAAAAATATATTTGGAGAGTATATCATATACTCGAGCAAGTATATCAGTTTTGTTTCAGACAATTTATTTTAATTTTGATTTAGGTGGCTAGTGTGCCTATAAATATCATCTCTCGTTGTAATTAAAATATACAATACACAATATATACAACCATCTCAATTTATTATCATTCGTCAAGTAACTTGTGATATAGGTTCACCAATAAATTGGCATCAAGAGCACTTGTTCGGTCCTCAATATCTAGCCATGATGAATATAAGCACTACCTCCAACCAATTCTTAGCCAATATACCAGTTTTCAAGAGAGAAAACTATGATAGATGGTGTGCGTTGATGAAAGTCATATTCAGATTTTAAGAAGTGCTTGAAATCATGAATGATGGTTTCTTGGCAAAAGAGGCAAATGCCACATAGGCACAAAGAAATGCTCATTATGAATTGAGCAAGAAGGATGGAACAAGCTTATTCTTGATCCATCACTGTGTGAATTCAAACATCTTTGAGATATCAAGCAAGAAACGCCCAAGGAGACTTGTGATACTATCAAAAAGCTATATGATGGAGAATAAAAGTTAAAGAAATTGAAGCTACAATCTTTGAGGAAGCAGTATGAAAACTTGCAGATGAAAGATGATGAAATGATTGTTAAGTTCTTCTCAAAGATTGTGGCTTTAACAAATCAGATAAATTCATGTGGAGAAACAACATCTGAATAGAAGGTGAAGAAGGTGTTAAGTATTGTGTTAATAATTAGTAGTTGTATTTTAGCATTTAATTAATAAATAATATTAAGGGCTCTTTCAGTCAAGTTTGATCACATTCTGGTGGAAATTAAAGAATCTAAAGACTTGTTAGAGATTAAGCTTGAATAATTATATGCATCTCTTGAGGTGCATAAGATGAAGTTGAAGCAAAGAGATTCATAAAAGGTATTTGGACAGACATTGCAAGCAAAGTTCTTCAAGAAAATGAAATAAATCTCCTCAAACAACAACAAAGTGAAAGTAAAATGGAAGAAGTTGAATGATAATGGTTATGTTGGGCTTTATGAAGCCAAGGTGAAACTAGCAAGAATGGTGTAAATCAAAACCAGAAAGTCAAGAAGAAGGTTGACATGAAAGAGGTTCAATCTTATTATTGTAAGAAGCTTGGTCATTATGCTCTAGATGGCTACTACAGCGAGAACAATTCCTTACCTCTCATGACCTGCATCCATTCCTTTGTACCATTCCTTGACTTATCATAGATAATGGTGATTAACTTATGACGTGCTTAAGCTTTAATTTTGTATATTTTGTTAGGTTTAATTGTTTGTGAAAAGTTTTAGAGAGAAGTCATACCTTTTCTCTCTACATTTCCCTTTTTTAATAACTACACCGTTTTTACAAATGGTGTGATCCTTCCTAACTTAAACTCTAATAAAGTTATCCTTATTTCTAAGTTAGATGATAATAACTAAAATTGTGTGGTACCTTGATACATGATGCAACAATTATATAACAGGCAACAAGATTTATTTTGTTAAGGTGGATGAATTAGTTAAAAGATCAATTTATTTTGCACACAACATCATGGTGACATCAGTAGGAATGTGCAACATCAGGTGATAAAGAAAGATGGGCATGAAGCTACCATCAGGGATTTATTCTATGTTCCCTTAATGGCAAGTAACTTGATCGATTTGGGTTAATTACTTGACAATAATTACACAATGAAGCTGGAAGGAAGGGAACTCAATATGTTTGATGAAATGACTAGGCCAACTCTAAGGACACCTTTGTCAATCAACAATACATTCAAGGTCAATATCAATATGCTTGATCATCAATGTCTATAATCAACCATAATTGAAGATAAAAATGAGTTTTTCATCAAATATTTGGCCATTTCAATTTTAGGAATCTTAACTTGATGCACAAGAAGAAGATGGTGTATGGACTTCCAAGTATTGAAGTGCCAAAGCAACTATATGAGGAATTTTGCATAGCCAAGCAAGCCAGAAACTCATTCAAAAATGACTTACCAATGAAGTCACAATAGAATCTTGAAATTGTGCATTCATATTTGTCTGGTCTCTTTGAAGTGAAGTCACTTTGAGATAATTGTTATTTCTTGACCTTCATAGATGAATTCACTAGTCATTTAAGGATTTAATTGTTGGAAAGTAAAAGTGAAGTTATCAACAATTTCAAGAAATTTAAATTGTTGGGTGAAAAGAAAGCTAGAAACACCATCAAGAGGTTGAGAACTGATGGTGGTGGTGAGTATAGCCGAGTTGAGTTTGCTCAATTTTGTGAGAAGGGAGGGATTGAGCATGAAGTGATAACACCATACACACCTCAGCATAATGACATTGTTGAAAGGAAGAATATAAGCATCTTGAATGTGGCTAGAAGCATGCTCAAAGCAAAGTAAATGCCTAAGCACTTATAGAGTGAAGCCACATCAACTATAATGTATATCATAAATAAATTTCCAACAAATAAGTTGAACAATAAAACATCCCATGAAGCTTGGTCAGGGTTGAAGCCAAGTGTGGATTGTCTCGATATTTTTGGTTCACAGTGCTTTAGACATGTACCTGAACAACTTAGAAGAAAGTTGGATGATAGAAACTAAGCGATGGTTATGGTTGGATAACATTTAACATGTGTCTATAAGTTGATCAAATCAGCCAAGAATAGAGTGGTGATCAGTAAATATGTGGAGTTTGATGAAAGCAGTGGTTAGAATTGGTTGAAAATTCCAAAAAAGTATAGTGCAAGAAGGTGAATATTCAAGCCATATCAAAACTACTCTACATGATGAGGAATATGTTACACCGGTTGAGCCTACACATACTCAAGGAGTGAGAAGATCAAGCAGAACTAGAGCTCTATCAGTCGGGTTAAATGACTATGAGAGATTTCCTGATCAAGCAATTAGGGAAAGTGGTGAGCTAATTAAATAAGCAATGATGGTCGAGTCAGAACCAATTAATCATGTGCAAGCCCTGCAGGATGAAAAATTGAATGTTGCAATGATTGAGGAACTCAAGGCCAACGAGAAAAACTAAACATGGGAGTTGACTGAGAACTCATGCAAAAGCAATTGATGTAAGATGAATTTACAAACTGAAGTTGAAACTAGATGGTGAAATTTCCAAGTACGAAGCAAGGTTGGTTGCAAAAGGATTTCTTCAAATACCAAGAGTAGACTTTAATAAAGTTTATGCACATGTGGCTAGGATTGAAACAATTATATTGGTTTTGGACATATCAGCTTACAAAGATTGGAATATGCACCAAATTGACGTGAAGTTTGCATTCCTCAATGAACCTTTAGAGGAAGAAGTTTATGTAAAGAAACCACCAGGTTTTTAAGTAAAAGGGAAAGAGAAGATTATGTACAGGTTGAGAAAATCTTTGTATGGATTAAATCAAGCACGTAGAGCTTGGAACAAGAG